CGTCCTGTATGACGGAGCACATGCGCGTGAGTGGACTGTACTGGGGCGTGGGGGCCATGGCGCTGCTAAACCGTGAGGAAGAGATGGATCCATCTGAGATCGTGGAGTGGGTGATGCAATGCGAGCACCCCGATGGAGGATTTTCCGGCAACGTTGGCCATGATCGCCACCTTCTCTACACAGTCCACGCACTGCTGATTCTGGCGATGCTGGGCGCTTTGGATCGCATCGAGCGTGACGAATGTGCCAAGTACGTGGCGTCGTTGCAACAACCCGACGGCTCCTTCGCCGGTGACGAATGGAAGGAAATTGACTCTAAATTCACGTATTGGCGCAATTCTCCGCGCGCCCCCTCCAAAATCTGGGAAAAAATGGGAGCTTCATCCTAGCTGCGAGAAGGGCCCCGGTCCTCAACTTGTAAAACTGCTCGCCAAATTTGGAAGCCGGCTTTGGCAACATCCCAGGTTGCGAGTCGCACGGCGGTCACATCTTCACGGCTGTGGGTGCTCTGTCTCTGGGCTTCGCTTTGGAGCAGTATGTGGATGACGAACTACTAGGCTGGTGGCTGTGTGAGCGCCAGTGTGACTCTGGAGGACTGAATGGCCGACCCGAGAAGCAGGCCGACGTGTGCTACAGCTGGTGGAACATCTCGTCTCTCATTATGATCGGCAAACTCGACTGGATCAGCAAGGAGAAGCTCATCCAGTTCATTCTGGCCTGTCAAGACCCCGAGGACGGAGGGATCGCTGACCGCCCTGAAATGTGGCTGATGTGTTCCACACGTTTTTCGGTATCGCTGGATTGTGCATGCTCGGCTACTTTGACCGTGAAAAGCAGAACCACCCCGAGTATCAAGGCATCCGACAGATTCATCCGACGTTTGCTATCCCCACAGATATTGTAGAGAAACTGCAGTTGACAGCGGATATGGTCATGCCAGTGCACAAGGACTAAAGTGCGGTCCACTATAGGGATGAATTTGCAACGCAGATATTCGTTTTCAAAGGTGCATTTTCTTTCGCAATTTAGCCCATTCAGGTTCCGTACCGCCCCCCCCTTCCCCAAAGGCCCTTAAACCCCAACCACCTGCGTTTAACGTTTCCTGTGGGGGTGGGCCTCTCTCAAACACAAAGGTTGGGAAGGGAAAGCTCCAGTCCTTGGAACTTAAAAAACTCGCCAGTTAGCCCACACCCACCCCCGGAATTATTAAACACTAAACGGGGGTTAAGTGCATGTCCAATTGAAAGTCAGCAAATAACTCCCCCGCGGGAAGTGGGGTGAACAAGTCCCCGTTTAAACTGCGAACGCAACTTCCAAACCTCCTTGGGCTTGAATACAGTTAAACTCCTTGAACACTTCCACCTTGGCCGTTGAACTTCTGGATGTCGTCTGGTCCACGTTGCTGCCAGAGCCCAGATTATTTGAAAATAACAGCCAGAAATGCTTTCCTGCACCAGTTTTCTTAACATCGTCCTCCTGGGAAACTCCAAAAATGAAATCATGTCAAAACATTGCACAAAAACTACCCCGCGCCCCTCTTCAAC